ATAACCATGAGAAACCCTGCCGAGACGATAAAGCACAAGAAACTCCGGGGGAACGGAGGTTAAGTTAGTAACATGCATTAATGGGGGAACCAAAGGGGGGGGTGAATGAGCGAGAAAGGAGGAAGAGAGGAAGAGAAGAGCTGCAGGTGCCCATGGGAGATCGCCCCGAGTAGTCTAGGCCTATAGCAGCAATAACGAAGATGGTTCAGGATCACCTGGGATCCAGCCAACTACAAGCTTTACGGGGGCGGCTTGCTGCCCAAATGGTGGAGAGGTGGTCTGCCCTCCGAACACAACGTGGAGCTGGTTCGGCACAGGAGAGGAGCTTGGTAACTGAAGGCTGCTGGCTCCTGTTCTACTTTTAGAGACGTATAGGGGAACCGAGAAAGTAGCCAGCATTCAGAGAACGGTAGTGTTGCTAGAGGGGTAATAGGGTATTATGAGCTCTTCAAGATAAAGAAGGGGCTGACCATGAAGAGTTTTATGAGGTGGAGGAGGAGAATTTTTAAATTCTATTCAAATTAACAGGGAGCCCAATGCAGAGAAGCTAGAACAGGAGGAGATGTGATCTCTTTTCCTGGTCTGCAGTACTCGTGCGTGCAAGCGTCTGAATTAATTGGAGCGTCTAATGGAGCTTATAGGGCAGACCTGATAACAGAGAGTTGCAGTAATCCAGGCCTGAGTAAGCAAATGGCATGGAGTTAGTTTTTCTGCAATTCTGTCTGGAAAGATGTGTCAATTTTTGTAATAATACGGGTAATGAGGAAGAAGGCAGTCAAGAGAGATCTGGCTTTATAGGGAGTTAATGACAAGGTCCGATCAAAGATAGACGCAAGATTCCTGACGTGGCGCTAGAGGCCAGGTAAGGGGCATGCTAGAGTAGCTATATCTTAGAACAGTGGGAGGGTCTTCTAAGTTTTGGGGGCCAAGTAAGGCAAGATTTAGTTTTTTCTGGAGTTTAACATCAGAAAATTACAGCTCATCCAGGATTTTATGTCCTTAAAAATAGACATTTTATGACTCTAAATCACAGCATGACACCTTTGTGTTTTTTTGTGCTTCACAGACTGAGGCGACAAGGTGCCAGAGAACAGTATGGTTACAATGAGGTGAGACTACATCCAGTTTAATGTCAAATTGTAATTCAGATTATATATATATTTTTAACTTTTTGTCCCAAATATGTTCTTCTCAACAGGTTGTTTTGAAAGGAGCGGGGAAGAAACTGAGCCTTCTTGGTGTAAGTTGAATACAGAGTGAATGAATGAGTGTGGAAACAATACTGGAGCTGTTTAAGTGACTAAAGTGCTTAAAAGGAAGTGATGGCTACAACTAATCAGCTGAGTTACAGTAAATCTGTAATTTTCTGGAATAACATGGAAGTATTTTTCACTGTTAATGTTTATTTTATTATAGAGTAACAATGTGGCACTTGTAATCAGGATGTGAGTCACTGAAGTTCAGAGCAGGGGAGGGTCATTACATCATGGTAATTTGGTGCCATTTCTGGTGAAACTTATGGGAGATGCTCTGGGAAGCACATTAAAAAACTACTATAATAGCTCTGCACTGCAATAAACTCTTATTTTCTGACATTATGATGTTTTTTAGATTGTTTCTGATCAAACTTCCTCAGTATTTGCTAAATTAGTGGCAGGTAGAAAGTCCTCACTTTGAGAAACAGTGTTAGAGCGATACAGAGCTACATGCTAACTGCTAACTTCACATTAATTAAGTAAGTAAGTAGTTAGTTTGACATGTCGGTGAACATTTTCTGTCATTACCTGGATGTTAAAAAGGGCGAAGCGTGTTTATTTCTTGTGTATTAAATCCAAAAATATTGTGAAGACTGGCAGTACATACAGTGCAGTGTTAGTATAAATAAGAATTATACTATTATTTATTATTATACAATCATGGAAACTTATGACTGGTTGGATCAGGATTTACTGTATTGATGTCGTTTCCCCTTTTTCAGCAAACGTGTGCGGTCTGTTTAGAAGAGTTTCGCAGCAGGGATGAGCTCGGAGTGTGTCCATGCTCCCATGCTTTTCACAAGAAGTAAGTTCTCATTTGGTGATTGTCAAATGAGATTGGACTGAGAGTTGTCACTTTATGTTTGAGGCTGACGGTGCAGATGCTCCATGGTCAGCGGATCCACAGGCCTCACTCTTAAAACCACAGAATATTATTTAGGTTGGTATTTTGACTTCTTAAACATTTGTCGATAGACCTCTTGACTGAAATGTTGACTAACCGGTTCGAAGGAATGACGATGATGATGGATTTCTGCAGCTTTCAGTGAAATTCAGACAAACACTTGGAACGACTTTCAGGGCTGCCCTGCAGAAAACGAAGAGCAGATTCCTGACAACATATATCTTTGCATGTTTGAACATGAGCAGACATTATGCAGCTGAGACCAGTTTTTGCCCTATGGCGTAGGTGTGACACCGGCAACCTGTTTGCTTGTCTGTCTGACTGACAGTTTTCTACCTGTATCACCTGTATCTGTGTAAATATGTGTGTGATCTCCTGTTTCTTGTGGTACATAACTTTGCGTAAAAATGACAAAACGAGGTAACTTCTCCTCCATATGCTTTCCCCAGGTGTCTTCTAAAGTGGTTAGAGATCCGCAGTGTCTGCCCCATGTGCAACAAGCCCATTTGTCGCCTCAAGCCGGAAACCCCGCAAGCACCTGAGCAGCCGCAGAGCCTCCTGGAGGTCTGAGAGGGGGACACGAGTCCAGCAGCACCTCACACAGATAACTCTCACTATAGATTTAGTTTAAGTAATGCAAACATTTCTTGAGGCAGAGCTACTTATTTAATTATCCGAGTTAAACTGTTCAGAGCCAAAGAACCTACCTGGCAACCTATATGAGGGGAGATTATTTATCAGCATTCCTGATGGCAGATGAAGGTTAACAATCAAGCCTAGATACTGCAATGTTCAGTACGTAGCCAGATGCTTAAGCTAATGCACAAGTGCCTTAAAGCTGCAGGTCCTTTAAAGTAGAACCCTGCACGGGACCTTCAGATTCCTCCCACTGGATTTCTGAACATTCGCGGCCGCACATTAGAGATTTTCCTCTTGTTCCCGCAGTCAACAACTGAGTTTCTCCAGATGTCAGACATGTCTTGCTTTGCATTTGATTTATAAAAACACGCTTTAATCGTCTTTTCAACTTCTGTGTTGACTACGTCTCCGTCCGTCTGGAGGGCGCAAACTAAATCCAAAGACCTGCAGTTTATTTTTAACCAAACGCAGCAAGAGTAAAAACCGTCTGCTCCTGTGAGATTGGTGTTGTGTTAGGGTTAATGTAGTACTTCACTCTAAAGGCCACTAAAAGACACATTCAGGTTATTATCAAGATTGATTGTCAGATAGATAATTCCACTTCTTACTGTGTGCATGACAATCTTTACAATTACTTAATGACGAGGATAAAGGCTTAAAGAGAGCTGTGTTCCAACTGGCAAACATTTCATGTACACAATGCAATGCTTCACTGTTGCTGATGAGTGTCTGAAATCCCAGTTTACTCCTTGTTATACATAAATTATGTAGGAAAACAATGAATGAGGGAACAATTTGGGACACAGTCCAAAACTGCCAAACTGAGATTGAGCCATAAATCCCAAGGCTCCTTCTCAATCCTATGGACGACGTCACTAATGCTGCTTCCACATTATTGGTTAGCAGGAATGCTGCTGCCAGTCTTTATGAACAGGCTCCAGTTGAATACATTCCTCGGCCGGCAGGAAAACCGCAGTTAGCTTCACCCGATGAAGTTTGATTGACGTGATTATCTGCTGTGGAGAAACTCATGGCATCACCAAAAACACGTCGCTTGCAGAGCGTGGAGATGCCAGATAGTTGTTCAGATTCCTGATAAAACCCTTATAGCTGGATCTTCTACTTCTGCATCACCCAAACAGAACGAGAATACTCCTGCCTCCGGAGCAGCTCTGCCTCTGAGAAATGTTTGTACGACAAACTACGGTCATTTTTCAAAGACGACATGCAGCGCCACATGAACACGATGTAGGTTTTACAACAACTCTGAGAGCCTGGAGCTCGGAAAGAAGAAGACTCGACCACCAGCTCTAAAGATGTCTGAACCTACTTTGGCTCGCCCCAAAGGCAGAGACTGAAACAGAGGACGCACATGCATGTACACTAACAAGAGTCAGGTGTATTTTGGCTGTAATCTTCTATTGTCTCCCAGTTAGTCAGCTCTGTGTGTTGCCAAGCTTAGTGATGGTTTTGAAGAGTCATATGGGATCTGAAGCCTGTTTAAGCCACTCCGCCACTAAAATAACACTTATATACATGGTATTTAAGTTATTCCTAGGGAACTGCTTTGTATAATTTCTGTGAAGGTATTTTATGTCAGTGTCATCGTTGCCAGTGGGACAGACTTGAACCGACCATCCCTCAATGAAATCTTAGCTCGCAGTGTCTCCACTGTAGTGATATAAATAGACGTGCTGCTCTGATATGAACAGCCTGTTTGAGCTGGTTTCTTGTCTGAGTGAGGTGCACCATAAACATTATCTGTATGTATCATGTAATATACTACGAGTACTGTGTAAATTGTAAATGCTTTACATTTTCTGACTTTAGAAAAAGAAAAAAAATATAACCAGTGTTTTGATAAGGTCATTTTGGAGTCTTTCTTTAACAGTTTATTTATATATTATGATTCTAATATTTGGGAAGGTTGAACCATTGTGCTGTTGGTGCCTTATCTTTATTGTAGGTGTGTTTCATTATCTGTCACCTCTGGTATTCCTCCAAAAAGTCATCAAAGCTTTAATCAAAAATAAGTTGTTGTTCATCTTCTAATGAATATCCAGCAGGTTTGACGCTGTGAGGCAGAATGCTGCCCTCTACAGTCAATTAGGTGTTATTTTTATTGTATTTAATCTTGGTCAGAGGTTAGTGTCTTAAACCAGCATTCTATGTAACGGCCAGCGAGGGGCAGCTCCAGTGGTTGCAAGAACACACAGATACTATTCAGTCTTATGGAGAAATGAGTCGACTTCTCAGTTGATTAATGAGCTCAGTAAACAGTTTCCTGATGAGTTTCTGGTCTCAGTCTCTAGTTTCAGTCTTCTTCCATACAGCATGATGTTCATTTAGTAACTGATGGTCCCATTTAGAGTCAAACAGCCATAATATGGCTTTCAGGCCGCAAGCTACCTCTGTGATTGACGCTCATTCTCCAGTGAGGTCCGTCCAGCTCAACGCACTAAACTCAGATCAACACACACGCACCTGTAGCTCATGAATTTACCAGCAGCTCACCAGTAAAAACAGACCAATGATCAGGTTAGTGGATATCTACGTCACAAATGCTGCTTTCCTGAGACTGGATACATCTGTGAAACTCTTTAACTCTCACTGAAGACATGTAGCAGCGGTTCTGGGAGACAATAACCAAGTCACATCATCTTGCTCAAGGTTCAAGAAAGTAAAAGTGCTCCAGGCTCTAAAAATCTCAGAGAGATCAATAAAAAAAAGCACAAGACCAAAGATTCCTACGAGCTGTTTTATACGGTTGACTGCTTCTCCCTTCCTGTAAATTCCCAGTAATCCCACAAAAGACATCCGGCTACAGAGCTGTATTTACCACTTAACTTAATAGTGCATTTATTCCACCTAATTCTCAATGGGGCTTCCCCCCCCATCTCCACAAGTGCTGAGAATGTCTGTAGCAGTAAATTACTCTCAAACATTTCCTCTGGTCCACTGTGGAGTCCTTCATGGTGTCGCTGGAACAAGTAAATACAAAATGCAGGTATGTCAATGGGTAGAAATGTGCCCCACACACAAAGCTGTTACACACAGTAAGCAGATGTCTGGAAATCCCCGGCTCAGTCGAGTCGAGAACACAGCAAAGTGTGTCATGAAAGGTTTTTTTTAAGGATGCTGATCTTCCATTATTGACACTGACTAACTGCAGGACGCTTGAAACAGCTTGGACGTTAAGAGGTGGAAATCTCAGTTGACTCCCAAAAAACAAACGTCATGTCTTCCTCTGACAGAGAGAAAGTAGTCAAAGAGAAAAGAGTAAATATTTGACCTCAGGAAGTCGCAGATATGAGTGAGAATTTGGTGTTCTGCACATAAACGGCCCGATTAGGCCGAGTGGAGAGGATAAAGAGGATTATCATGAATTGAGATCCATCACTGCAAACATCTCTAAACCTCTCGAGTCAAGTTTATACCTGAACTATAAAATATAAGTTTGTTTTTCTGTACAAAAAAGTGGGCAGCTGTGGTTGTCAGAACTTTACTGTAATAACTACGGCAGAACTTTTGCTTAAGTAGCTTTTACTTAATTTTTTTTGTACTATGAAAACTAAATACCTATTAAAAAGTTCTTAATCAGGAATGTTTCTGTAACTTAAAAAACTAAGTTAGTGTCACTTAAATATTCTAGTAAAAAAACTTAGTTAGCGTTAGAGTATAAAAAGGATTCATTTAACTTATTAGTTTTAACTTTACTTTAATTCATAACAATAAATACTTGAGTTACTTCTACTGAAATCAAATATCTTTCATGCTTAAATTATTTGACTTAATAAACATAAAAGGTTTAAATCGGTCACCCCAAACAATGCTGGATAGACTAAAATGGTGAGTGAAAAATGGGATTTTATGTGGCGTTTAAGTGCAAATAGAAGGACTTTTGCTTTGGAAAACTACAGAAAAGTTAATCTGATAGTAGGTTTGATAAGTGCCTGATAATAAATGCAGAGCTCAGACCACCCTGGTTTCATTAATGAGGAGGGTTGGTTGATACACGCCGCTCCATCATGCATTAATACACTGACAGCTATAAAGGATGCTTTGTAGAAGCTGGAGGACTTCCCCGACTAATATTAGGGCTTAAGTTCAAAATGAAAACGCCACCGCTGTTGCCAAAATAAACACACACAATGTGTACACTGTCAGTAGATTGGGGTTCATCTCTCCCAGATAACAGATTATTATATGCAACTGAAGCATGACTTAAGTTTTTACCATGAAAAGAAACTATTTTGCCACATGGAAATACCGAATGAATGCTGTATATATAAAGGTTTTGCCAAGCGAGCGTGTTCACTGTAACCAAACTCACACAGGAGCTTTAAATCTGGTTTTTCAGGGAATCTGGTTGCACAATGTGGATTTTGTTTCAGCAACACGATAACCAATGATTACCTGCTTCTAGTGGCCGATACAGATAATTTCACGTTTCATAACCTGTAAGTTTTTACACACCTAAGGGTAAGAAAGGTTGAGATTGAGTCAGCACAAACAGTTCTGACTCTTCCAAAGTTCATTACATACTGTGGCTTTTATAGAATATTAAGTCTATCAATTGTTTTGCAAAATAAATGATTATTAATATCAACTGAATTATCCAGATCATTTATAATAATCTGAAATGTATCTGACAATAACTATCTTATGATACGAGTAGTGCATCTTAAAATAAATGATTATTGTCTAACTGCACCTCTGTGATATTGATGATTGATAGCTGGGGATCGATGCAATGAATGCACCATCAGACAACTTCCTTCAAACTGTAATGAAAATACAATATTTACTGTTTCCTTTCTTTTTTAAGTATAAACACAATAAATAGACATATATAAAAATATAGTATAATAAATAACTAAACAACAGAGGAAGAAAGAAGAGTTACTTTTTGTAAATCCTGCTTTAACCTCAATAATAAGCCTGTAGCGCCCCCTGCTGGATAAACCAGAGCTGAGCCTAAATAGACACAGTAAAATAAATATGTACAATAAGCTTGAGAAGGTAAATATAAACTCATATTAATAATATTAACACTTGTAGACAATTAGACAATAGTAATAGAGTAATTAATTACTTAAACTAACCCAACACTGTAGGGGAGTTAATAGCATTTAGACATTAGGTATGTTTTTTTTTATGTTAAAAAATACTTTTAATGAGTGTTTGCAGCTTCCTGTTGACACATACAGTCAGCTAGAAGATTAAGAATATGTATTATAATATAATATTTAACACAATATATATAGAAAATAGAAAAATAGGTGAAAAATTAAAAACATTATACTTAAATATATGAAATATATAGAAGATAGAAACATGTAGTATTAGTGTAGAGTGTTGCACATTAACCAGAATAACATTTCAAGTGCCATGTAAATCATTTTAATGAGAAACTCTCTACAATGAGTTAATATCTCAAAATAGGCATTATAGTAACTCACTGCGGTAAGTTAGAGACTAAATCTTTATTCAGAGAAAGTTCCTCATTACGAAGACAGAATCTAGTTTTCAGGTCACATTTATTCTGAAAGATCCAGACCGGAAGCTGCGTCATCGCCGGAAGCACATCCGTCCGCGGCGCGCGAGGGAAAACTGAGTTGTGTAAAAAAAAAAAACAACAAAGAATAAAAAAGGTAAAGTTAGAAAATACTTTTATTTCTGTGAACGTTTGATTTAGTCGTAACAGCACAGACACGTTTGTTTGTTTGTTTGTTTGTTTTCACACATTTATCAGCGCGTTAGCCAGCTAGCAACGTTAGCTCACTCACTGTCAACTGAAACATTTCACAATAAAAGTTAATGAACAATAAAACGTTTATAATCTGTTTCCCTCGTTACAGGAACACGTGTTGGGAATGTCTCCACCGGCGGGAAGAACGAGCCATGAAGCGGCGAACATATCGGACACCGACTCAGAGGACGAGGTAGTGTACAGGTGTTTATACAGCTGTTTGTACAGCGGTTTACAGGTGTTTACAGGTGTTTATACAGCTGTTTATACAGCGGTTTACAGGTGTTTATACAGCTGTTTACAGGTTTACAGTTGTTACAGCCGTTTATACACGGTTTATACAGGTGTTTTACAGGTGTTTATAGCATGCTTTTTACAGTGTTTACAGTGTTAAGGCTGTTATACAGGTAATGTTTACCAGGTTTAACAGCTTGTTTATACAGCTGTTTGTACAGCGTTTTAGCAGGTGTCTTACAGGTGTTTATAACAGCTGTTTCAGGTGTTGTAGCAGCGGTTTAATACAGCGTTTACAGGTGTTTATAGCAGTTTTACAGGTGTTTTGTACAGCGGTTTATACAGCGGTTTACCAGGTGTTTTATACCAGCTGTTCTACCGGTGTTATACAGCTGTTTAGCAGTGATTATACAGCCTGTTTTAAGGCGGTTTACAGTGTTTATACAGCTGTTTCACAGGTGTTTACAGGTGTTTCATACAGCGTTTATACAGCTGTTTACAGGTTTTATACAGGGTTTATACCAGCTGTTTATACCAGGTATTTTAGCAGGTGTGTCTTTTACACTCTTTACCAGAGTGTTACAGGTGTTTACGTGTTTATACAGGGTGTTTATGGGTGTTAACAGGTGTTTAGCCGGTGTTTATACAGCTGTTTATACAGGTGTTTAAACAGCCGGTTATACAGCCTGTTTACAGTGTTATAGCCGCGTTTATTACAGCTGTTTTATAGCAGGTTTACACAGCCGGTTTATACAGCTGTTTATAACAGGTGTTTATACAGCTGTTATACAGGGTGATTATACAGCTGTTTACAGGGTGTTGACAGTGTTTTATACAGCGGTTTACAGTAGTCGTAGGGCAGTGTTTTATAGCAGCTGTTTATACAGGTGTTTATACAGCGGTTTACCAGGTATGTACAGGTGTTTATACAGCGGTTTACACAGCTGTTTAATACAGGTGGTTTATAAGCCAGCTGTTATACAGCTGTTTATACAGGCTTTTAAGCAGGTTTACATTTATTACACGGTTAACCACGTACAGTTAACTTACAGATGTTATACAGGTGCATATGCATGTTTACAGATGTTATACAGGTGTTTACAGATGTTAGCAGGTGTTATACATGTTACAGATGTATACAGGTTTTAGTACATGTTTAGCAGATGTTATACAAGGGTTTACAGGTGTTATACATGTTTACAGAATGTTAACAGGTGTTTACATGTTTACAGATGTTTAACGGGTTACAGATGTAGTACACGGTTTATAAATGTTTACCAGATGTTATACAGTGTTTACAGATGTTATACAGGTGTTATACAGGGTGTTTTACATAGTTTAAAACAGGATGTATACAGGTGTGTTATAACATGATTTAGCAGAGTGTATACAGTGTTTAGCCAGGATGTTATGACAGTGTTATACATGTAGCAGATGTTACTACAGGTGTTAGCAGATTATTACAGGTGTTACAGATTTTAGCAGGTGTTATACAGGGTGTTTACAGATTTATACAGGTGTGTTAAGCGGTGTTTACAGATGTTAACAGTGTTTAACGGCGGTGCTTTATCAGATTTTTCAGCAGATGTTATACAGGTGTTGATACATTGTTTACAGATGTTATAGACAGGGTTACAGAATATTAACATGGTGTTTAGCAGATGTTATACAGGTGTTTACAGATGTTATACAGGTGTTTATACATGTTTACAGATGTTATACAGGTGTTTATACATGTTTACAGATGTTATACAGGTGTTTACAGATGTTTATACATGTTTACAGATGTTTACAGGTGTTTACAGATGTTATACAGATGCTTCCAGGTGTTTACAGATGTTTACACAGGTTTTTGTTGTCCAGATTTAAGTTAACACATTTGCCTGCTCCAGAGCCGATCTGAAGCAGTTGGATGTGATGGTGAGCTGTTGTACTGAACTGAAGGCTCGTCTAACGCTCAGTGGAAACAACCTGAACTGAAGCAGTAACCACACACACATTAACTACACACAGTGTTATCACGTGAGGTTAATAAAGTTGTGTCTGTTCCCGCAGCCCAAGCTCCCTCTCAATCAGTTCTACCCGTACATCCGCTGTGCCCTCTGCTGCGGCTTCCTCATCGACGCCACCACCATCACAGAGTGCCTGCACACATGTGAGTGAGCCCTCAGAAAGCCCATAATATTCACCACAGTCCTTACGTCAGTGGGTCAGTCAGGCAGACGTGCTGTAAACTGATGAGAGATTATTTAAACCCTCAAATATTAATATCTTTATTCACAAAGTTCTGACTGTGTGTTTTATCTTCTCCCAAGTTTGCAAAGGCTGCATCGTGAAGAGCTTCTTCTACAGCAACAGGTGTCCCACGTGCAGCATCGTAGTCCACCAGACGCAGCCGCTTTACAACATCAGGTCAGTCTTTAAAGGTTCCTCCTGATTTCTCCTCAACCTGCTCTATCAATACATGTTTGTCACGTTTGTCATTGGCTTACAGGCCTGACAGACAACTGCAGGATATCGTTTACAAAATGGTTCCTTTCCTCGAGGAGCGTGAGTACAGTGTATATATACAGATTTATATTTATATATATATGTACAGTCAGGTGTTTCTACCACAATCTTCTGTAAAAATTCTAATGTGAGCTCTTTTCTTCGCAGTGGAAAGAGAACAAATGAGTAACTTCTACAAAGAGAGAGGACTGGAGGTGCCAAAACCAGGTACAATAGGTTCAAAACAGTATTTCCTTCTCTGTGTTATGTAACGTACAGTATTTCACTCTCTTCCTGTGTTAATGGATTCATTCTAATCAACACACTGAATCAAATAATATGAATTAATAACACAGTTGGTCACGGAGCTTCATGGTTTCCGTTCTCTGTCAGTGAGTAACAGACTGCTGAGATCAGTGGTCTCTGAACAAACTGGACTTCTTCCTCTTCCCTCTATAATAAGAAGAGAAAGTGTAACTGACCTGATCCCATATGATCCATTCAGTATTGAGTATCTGCCGATATCGAGTCCCAGTCCATTACTTTAATAGATGTTCAGCTAATCCGGAGCACACTGTGCCCTCCAAGTACATTAAAGTTATTAAAACCAATCAAATGTAAATGTGTGAGCATTGAAAAGCTCTGCACTGCATCAAGAAACAGTGTAATACAGTAATAACAACCCTCTGTGATCTTTGGGACTTTCTCTCTCCAGTGTTTGGTTGCAGCCTGAATCATTGCAGTATTTATTTCCATCATCTCTACGTCTTAGTGCAGGTTACATTAGTTCATTACTCTTTTTGGCGCGTTGAGTGTGGTTGTGTCTGCTCTCTACCGCTCTCTCCTCCGAGCCACTGATGGCTGCACCGTGCCTGAACGCTTTGGGAGTGAAAACAGCCGATGTGAAACGAAGAGCGGATCGATGTGGCTTAAAATACCCGACAGCGTTCCCTGATACGGATCGCTGAGATGGGATCGGGACCTCCCTCATATTGTGTTTTACTGTTTAACTTTGGGGTTTTCACTTTGCATTTAGCATTGATGAGTTCGTGGCTCACGCTGTGGCTCTGTGTTTTCCTCTGCCGGCTCTGCAGTGATGGTGTCCCCGGCTCCTGTTGTGGTCAGGAAGCAGAAGAAGGAGGCCGTTCCTCAGTCTATGTTCACCATTCCTCCTGAGCTGGATGTGTCTCTGATGCTGGAGTTCGTTGGGTGAGCCTTAGTTATGGCTTTATTCTCTATAAAGGACCTGTATTCTTCTGCTCATACGAACACGTTGTGAACACCACTGATCTGTAAAACCATTAACAACATTAGTGTTGGGCAGTTGTTGGTGGTCTAACTTCATCATCATGCCAGTCGAAATACACTGAAAACGTAATGTTTTAATAGAACAAATGACAAGAACAAACATCTCCCAGACCTTTCCCTCACAACAATGTCTAACAAAGTAGCAGTACCAAAATAAATATGCAAATAAAAACAAAAGATAAATAAAAAGAATACATAAAAGAACAATCAAACGTGTAGCATGTGACACAGTGACAGTAAAGGTGGCGTTTCCAAAAGACTGCATCCTGGAGCACAGTTTCAAATGTTTGGGTTTCTCCCCTAAAATGGCGTTTTATTCAGAAAGCCTTAGACTAAATAAAGAAGTTTAGTCCTTTTCGATGTTTGTTTAAAGTCCTCAGGATATATTCCAGGCACACAAAGTTCGGCACATATTTTGAACAATCCTCTGGAATATTAGCAGACGTATGATGAAGTTTGAAGGAGTTTGTATAGTTAGATTTAAAGGCCCTACACATCTTAGATACAAAGAAAATCCAGTTTGATTAACTTAATTCACTGGTTAAACTAAATCTTTGTTTTAATTAGTTAAAGAGCAACAACTGCAGGTTAATGTTGCTTTCAGACGGGGTCACCTTGTCTTCTTATTTCCTAGAATAATCTGTGAATCAGTAAACAGGCTCTCACTGTCTGTTTCTGTTGCCTGTTTCCTGGTAACAGTGTTCTGACCAAAAGCACAGGTGTAACTAATAACATTACTGATGGCTCTGCTCCCACTACACCAGCAGCCTTCACAATACAGGACACTGAAACTCACAGCCAGCACTAGCTTTATTATAACCTGTATATATATATATAGAGAGAGAGAGAGCAGGTGAGTTGGTGTTAGTTTGCCTTGTGTCGTAGCTGTAAAGCTCCTGGTAAATTATATGACTGTCTGTAACCAGAAATCCTCTGGAACTGAGCCTGGTTCTAGTCTCTCTTTGGTGGGAATCACCTTTAAGAAATAAGAGTGGTAACATGTTAGTGTAGTTTAAAGGATCACGACTTTGCTTTTGTAGCAGTGAATGGAATTATAATGCAGTAAAACACAGACAGGCCACCAGATGGGGCTATTTTCTTCCACTGACTGCTCTGTACCAGTTGTACTTACTGTATATTGTGCTCTTGTTTTCAGGGCTGAAGAGGGCATCAATAACTACAAGGTAATGACATAAAATGTTCCTTATTATGGGAGTTTATAACAGTTCTTAGGAGATTATAATGGTGCACTGTAACGATTATCAGAGTAGTTGGCGATTAATTTAATAGTTGCCAACTAATCGGTTAATCGGCTAATCATTGCAGCTCTAGTTGGATTGCACCCTAACCACCCTGTCCCTGTTAAGCCATTAGAGAGGCGGTACGTCCGTGTGTCGGGCGAGGCCACGGTCCGCCACGTGGAGCTGTTCATCAGGAGGAAGATGGAGCTGAGCCCAGCCTGCCAGGTGAGTCTGCTGGGCTTACAGCTGAAGGGTTCACAGTGACCGTCCTGATCCCGACTGTTGCTTCAGACAGCAAAGGAAGTCTTCGTGGCAGTACAGTGTAGGCGTGAGTGAGTGAGAGGGCGCTTTACGCGTTAGAAGACAGCTTTTGTAGTTTCATAATGGCCAACAGTGTGCAGTCCACACTTAAAGGCAACACACACCTGCAGCGAGTGATGCACATTAAAGCAGCCAGCGAATATGTAGAAAATCACAGATATTGAATGAATGCTCTGTACGGCCGACAGGAGTCACACAGCGTCAGTTAATTAAATGGAATTCAACAAATAATTCAACTACAACCGGCTGGTAACGATGGCAGATCATTCACAACACAAATCGGCTGCAGAGAGAGAGAGACATAACAAACACCCGGTTGGAAATAACTAATAACTAAAACTAAACAGCTAACAGTTGTCGGGGTTGGACACAGATCGGAGGCCGTCCCGCTCTGGCGAACAGGCAGCGCTACCACAAATGTTAATTCAGTTACACCAACGTTTAAACATCATTTTACCAGCTCGCTGGAAAGAGAAATAAAGAGTGTGCATATGGACAGAGAGAGAGAAAGAGAAGGAGCTGAAACTTAACTTTAATCTGGTTGACGGCTGTGTCACATGAAAGGGCAGAACGAGTTTAAGTCAAAGGCAGTACGACAATATTCAGGGTTCACATCTGGAAGTTTAGAGACTAGTAGAAACTAGAAACACCTGGAAATTGATTGAAAGGACCAAATATCCTGGAAATAATCTGTAAAATGTGCATTGTACTTTAGCCCCTCACTCAGAATACAAGCAGAGCTCAACAGAGAAGAACTGCTCGGGTCAAATCTCAGCAGGCTGCCTACGAGAGTAGCAGACACTCTTAAGTTAATCTGATTATAGTCTGATAATGAGTGCCATGATACCAAGCGTCTGTCTCAGTGCTGTAAGAGATGCTTACAGATATGAGTGAGTCCTCTGTCCTCAGAGCGCAGGCGGACTGTTTCAGGTTTCAGGTGTTGGTGTATTCAGTATTTGGTAACACGTGGATGAGGATTAGCAGCTTATGCTGATTTCCTGGCCTCAGTGCTGCTGCTGCACTGCTCTGGTCTGTCTGGACAAACCCGGAGAGGACAGAGAAAGACTAATTAAGGGTCGCTGTCCATTGTAACAGAGGTCACAACGGTTATATAACTCTGCCCTTTAAAGACTTTTACAATCACCGCAATCGACTGGTTACCCTTTAAATGTTAGTCAACCCTCTGATCTCCATGTGACCCTGTTAACAGTCAGACGAATATGTTCACTAACCAAAACCAAAAGTCAGACGAGCAAGGGGAGTTCCTTCACCACGACAACAGCCCTACGCTCGGCGCAAGAGGCGCGATGGCGTGTGTGACAAAGCTTTACAGCGAGGCACATCCAGTCCTCAGTGACGTCCTCAGGATCACACTGACCATACCCAGACATGAACTAGGTTATGCTTGTATGGGAAGGGGTGTGACGTGTGTTTGTGTGTCTGCAGGTGGATGTGGTTTGTGGAGACCACCTCCTGGATCACTACCAGTCCCTTAAAGACATACAGAACTCTGTGGGCGAAGAGGCGCTACAGGTGAGCAGAAACACGCAGCAGGAACCAACCACAGATTTAATGATGGGAGTTTTGTAGACGGCCAGGAATACTTTCTAACGATGCTTTTGTTCTGTTTCCACTCTGCTACAGGACGGTCTGCTGGTGCTGCACTTCGGCTTGGTCCTGCCCTCCGAGTCTTGAGCACGTGGGGCGGATGTAGTTCATTCCTGACCTTCTCTCCATCAGACTCTTTCTACTTTGGCATTATAACTACTCCACAACTGTCTCCGATTGTTCGCCTCTACTGCTAATAACTGTGAAAGAGAATAAGCAAAAAACAAACATGCAAATCTATCATGGGTTTTGTGTGGCTGCTGACCAAGTGGCATTACACAAGGATTCTGGCACTTGCATTGATTGAGTTTCATAAAAAGTTATTGCAGAATATGGAACATAGCCTTAAAGCACATGAGCACTGTTTATTCCTTGAATGATAACTGTGAATGGTAAAGCAATAGCTCAAGACAAACAGCAGATGTACCTCTTCATAATACTTTGACACTTAAAGGATACTACCTGCTAATGTTTTTTACAGGATTACACATTGGGTCGATTAATACTATTATTCTGTGGTTATATAAATATAATTAATATAAGTGAAAATGACACAGTTTTTGTTACAGGGTCCAGAGAGAACTGTACCATAATTCTAAATTTCAATGCTTTGCAATAGGCGCTCCTCACAGCAGCCGATGGATGTTGCATCATGCTAGGGGAAGGAATAAAATGGGCAACCACAGGTGTGGACTAATTGATTAAACATTCTATGCTGGCATCAATTATATGGACTTAGTTCCAGGACCTTCACACCGCTTGTGTTACTGAGGAGGTTATAATTGAACACAGCCGCCATTAATGCCTTAATTCCATTAATGCATTAATTTTCACCTGTGCATTCTGCTATGACATGTCAAATATTGTACATGACAGAGGGGGACATTTTACAGCAGAATTGTGGCACAGTCAAATGGTCACACAGATTTTGTTTTGGTAACCAACCTGTACAACAAAGGTATTTTATAGTTTTGGTTAAGTTAAAAAAAAAAGGTTTTTGGAAATGGCAGTTACGATGATACTGCCATCTGAGTTAAAGCAGTAAGCTAACAGCGTATGGGGGTTATAATAAGTGTTGGAACTAGTAGTTAGGTTTTGATAGATTACAGTTCTTACCCATCTTCTTCACAATAAAACTGCGGTCCAATATTTCATTTACCAGCAGTTTAATACCCTTTATGGCTGTTCTTTAGCATTGATAAATTTAAAATTAATTAAGTTTATTTGGTGTTAAATTTTAGTGAAAGTTAACTCACAGCTGGGAGGCACCACAAGGAATAATAAATGTTATATCAGTGGATAAAATTGGTGACTACTTAACTAATAGGAAATTGATCATCTATTAAGTGTTATGTGGGCTGGGGCTGCAGAACTTAGTCTTGTGAACATAAAGTGCTTTGGGATGTGAGTAGGTTCCGAGAGGAAATGTTTGTGCTAGGGAAGCATGTGAGAAAAATATCTTATATAGTGAACTTATTCAGTTTTTTGCTATGGCGGCAGGCAACGGGCAAGAACCATTCGGTGTCTCAAGCACTAAAGCCTGATAGCTCAAAATGTGAATGATATTAATCTTTCCATCATTGACAATGATGACTTATCACGGCGCTGGTTCAAAAGCACGATGTGATAAACACAAATCCAGCATACACTGCATCAGGAGCTGTAATATTCTTGGTGCAAAGCACCTATGGGTTAGAGTCATATGGCACGTTACTATTGTTTGAATCATCTATATATGCATTCCTTGCATTCCATGTGCTATTCTTGACATTGTGATGAATGCTGCGGCTTCTGCGACCTTTTTGGGGGGCTTAAAACCTAATTTCTCAAGCTTAAGGGGCAATCAGCGCAAACTACCTACTGCGCAAGTTTGAGTGACGATGAATATACCACCAGTAGGGGTCGGGTGAGGGTGGGCAGCAGCGCACATCACCTTTTAAGGTCATCACCTAACCTCTGTGCATAAATGAAACAGGGAGGAGGGTTAGTGGTTCAACTGGCTGACGGCATGGGGACGGAAATAGTTGGCTGGTTTAGGACAGGTTGGGAAAAGTTGATGGGATTTAAGACTATTTATTTTATGGCAAACACTTTGGAGTGGATACTTTGCAATTATGCCAGACATTGTAAAATGGGGATGAAAATTAATAAATTACGTCATTTAATTATTAAAACCTTTCGGTGTACATTTGGTTCAGCCGGTAGCTGTATGTAACAAGTCTAGGTTCTCATTTTCTCTGTCTGATTACACAAATCGGTGTGCTGTTTCAAGATCTAATAAAGTGTCTGAAACAAGAGCTAGTCAGTACAGAACTTTTCTGAAAACTTGCTTCTGTAGCCATGACACATTTTTGTTTCTCGCTTTTAGTGCTGCCACTTGCTACTGTGGAGCAAGAAAGAAAAATCACAACTACTGTGGAGTGAGGGGGGCGGATGGGTGGAGTGGGAGTATAATTTTTTTGTTTTACCTGGTAAACAAAATGAAAATCCAGACGGTCTCTAGGTGAACAGTAGGATTCATTTGGACCCTTGCTCCTTCACTCCACCACAGATAGCTTGTGGATTTGGAACTGTACACTAAGGTGAGGTCGTGCTCGTCCTCAGCTAAGGGATCAGTGCACTGGGTCAATCTGAAATTGACAGCTGCAAGAGTGTAGTTAAAGTAACAATTCTTTCCCCATTTTTAAACAATAATACTGCTGTGCTTTGGAATGAAGGTTCGGAGCATTGTAAATGAAAAGACAATAATAAACAGGAGATTCACACACTTGATATTTTTTTTCAATTCTTCGCAAAGACGGGATGGGATATTACTGCTTTGACCTCTTGTAGTATGTAAATTTTATCCATATATAGACATTGATTTTACTTAGGTTCTTGGACAGGCTTTGTCATATGTAATAAAAATGAATTGAAGTTAAATTATATTGTTATTCTCACACATGTGTGATTGCTTCTCCTGAGGTAACCTGGGCGAATGAAGAAGTTGTATTGTTTAAAGGGGTAAGGCAGATTTTGTTACTCAAACGGAATTTGTGCTTACTAAAAGCTTCCATTGAATGGTAGGAGTGCATTTCAGAAGGACAAGGAATTGTCTTTTCTATGATGAGTGAAAATTTAAATCATGTGGAATGCGTATTGCTTGTTCCACAAAACTCGTTACGGTGCGCGTTATTGGCTGGCCAGAGAGGTTAGTCACTAAAACAACTGCATGCATTCTTTTGCGTGTGGCAGTAATGTCTTCTTCAAGTCCATCAGGAGTACGTTGTGGGACGTGCAGTATCGAAGGTCTAATACAGCTGCACTAGTTCACATACATTTAGCTGACCACCAGAAACCTCGCTTTTAATTCTTAGGTGTAGTATAAGAGCTTAGATTCAAGGTATAGCAGTTATGGTTATTAAAGACTTGTGTAACCAATAACCTGGGATGGGAATAGCAAGTGGTATTTGGTATCCAGGATTTGTAAGATGTCGACTAGAGACATAGGATATTAGAGGTTAAATGTTTGTGTGGAATTCAGAGCCAGAGCCTTTGGAGGGGCATTCTTTGCCCTACATGCCATCTTGGGAAAAAGTTGCGCAGGTTACTGAGTGTACTTGTGTAGCCTGGTGGCTGGGTAGTTGACGCTGGTTTTATCTTAGAGTAATCCTCACATATATAACACCTCAAAGGTGGGTGGCTAATCAATCCTACCGGGCTATTGGTTTTTTTATTTATTAGCCGGATGACTCGGAATGGGTATGGAATCAGAAGTCGTGGAGTATTAACTAATGGATTTCAAAATTTTAAGTCTGTGTCAATATATTAGCTCATACGCTATGTTAGCTTCAGTTAAATTACGACTCTTAATCTGTAATTCCGCATCAATGTTGACTGCAAAGATATGTGAAACATCTGAAAGCCGCCATTTATTTAAACTTTCCTATTAAAGGGGCTTGATCATAACCTACTACCGAAAGGTTTGATGTTGTGGATGTGTGGTGTGTGGTAGTGGTGCATGCTTTTTATATTGCCTAATCTGCATAATATGCTCATTAGCGCTCATACTCTTATAATATTGTATCCCACTAACCAACAGTTTGCTAATATGTGAATTTGATTTACAAATTGAGCTTGTGGTTATTCTGTCTGTGTTTTGATCATTGAACTTGTTGACAGAACCTGCGCCACCGTATTCGGCAGCTGCTGTCGCTAGTTTTAAATACAATGTTGGTTCATATGTAATTGATGTATTAAAATGTGTGATCTGATTTAAAGATTTTTTCTAATTACAATTTCGTGAGCGGATATGAAACTGTTGAAAAAAAAAAAATTAAGGGTAATAACTGTTATATGATGTGCACACAGTGGGAACAGATTGTGTGTCCTTGTTTTTCATACATCCAATTTTATTCAGGTTTATGAACTGCTTCCTATGTGAGTCTTGTAGAAGTCCCACAAATATACATATCGAACTAATTGTACAGTGATATATAGTGCCCTTAAGTCAGGTCAAAGTATTGTTTAGAAGCCGTCTAGAACTGAAGAAATGGCCTGGATATTGCTGTGGATAGCGGAACTATGCGCCATTTTATCAGTATCTGCGCGTATATGTTACCTGACTACGGATATGTGTCACTCGTGCGTGCATCTTATGTGATTGCGCGCTGGATTTACAAGCTGCTCGCAATGTGTAACTAGAAATGGTTGGACGAAGTGGTATTGTTAAAGCTAGTAGTAAAGAAACTAAACACAGCCCTAAATATCGAAAAAAGAAATAATAAAACGAAAAGCAAGAACAATAGATAAATGAATAATTCAGTGGTGATTATAGCTACTAATGAACAACATACCTATGAATATATATATATATATATATATATATACAAACGACACATCACTAGTTGTCAGTCATGTCATTTTTATTCTCTGCATTATTCAGTGCAGCTGTTTACATCGACACTGCAGCCTGATGAAATGAACAGTTAGACTACATTTACATTTATTTTTCACTGATAAAGCATTGTGTACATAATCGCTATGCTTTCTGCTGCAACAGGTTGTTTTTCCAACATGCAGTAGTAGTCTACTACTACTATCTGACAATGTAAGCAAGGGAAAAACATCTACACAAAACACACTGGTGTCAACCCCCCCGTACACCCTATGTGCCTAAAGTGCTTCAAACTGACCTGGTGGCTCCACAAAATACTCTAGAAATCTTACTTTTGAGGGAGAACAATGACGGACAAGTGCAGAACATAGAGAACTTCTGTTCTTAGAATAATTGCTATTCAGCTCAAACTGTGGCTTTAAGTTTGGTTCTTTAAAGCCAATTTGACAGCTGATATTCAGCTGAATAGCACAGATTCATCGACAACCTTCTGCAACAACAGAGAAGCTGAACTTCACTAAAACATTTGGAGACTTTCTCTCGAGACATTTAGACTGTATCCGGGCAGTTTATTTCTTACTTGTCACACAGCAGCAAAATGGAAACTCACAGGACCGTGTCCAGACTTTATTTTACTGGGGGGGCACAAGTGGGGCACTGACTTATGTAGAAAGGTAGCAGTAAGTATGTGTCTCAGCTTTCCAGCCATCCCCAATTCATGCACTTCCAGTAATGTTTAGGGAAACATAACTAGAAAACTAAAAAGCTGGATGGTTGTAGCTCAAACAAGGGATCAGCATAAAGTGGGCATGTCTGCAAAGGGGAGACTCGTGGGGGGGACCCATAACCCATTTTCATTCAAATATCTTGAGGTCAGAGGTCAAGGGATCCCTTTGCAAATGGCCGTGCCAGTTTTTCCATCCATTTAGCCTAAATTTGGAGCGTTATTTAGCCCCCTTCCCAACATGCTACCATGACGGGGTTGGTACCAATGGATACATTAGTTCATCTAGTTTTATATGATGCCACATTTATATGAGGGCCCCACCTCTAGACACGCCCTTGGAAATTCATCCCCAGAACATTCAGTACTTGGTCCCATATTTACTGTGGTACAATATTTGCATCTCCTCTGGGGACGTAAAGTACACATGGCCAAGATTTTCAGGTTAGTTTCCTTTGTTTACCTCTGCTTTTATTTGGATAAAATTTGATAGTTTCAGAGTCCTATGCCCAACTAAAAAAATCTAATTTTGTATTTCTTAAGATACTGACTTTCTGCTCTGATTCCAAAACATTTCTTAGTGTTGCCCCTAATAAATACAGTATGTGACTATGAACTCACTATACATATATGGTATATCTCCAGATTTCCCTGTCTGTCTTTCGTCAGTTGGAGTTGATGTCTGCCTCATCTTTATCCTCACTGCTCTCCTTGAAGCTTTCCTTCGTGGCCCCTTCTTTCTCCCTCTGGCTGCTCTTGGAGGAGCCGGCTGAGGCTCGAGGCTGGTAGCTGTAGCTGGCAGCACCAAACGACATCCCTGAGTTAAAGTGTGTCTCTTCCCCCTCCAGCAGTTTCCTTACGGGACCAAAGGAAACACATGTCAGACTAAATGCACAGACTTAATACACCTGACAATGCTTAAAGACGTTTAACGAGTCAACTAGTCAAGAGATCTTTTGTTTTGCTTTGTCCTTTAATCCAGTCAGCACCTGTAGGCAGCTATCTCTATGTCCAGGGCCATCTTGACGTTGAGCAGGTCCTGATACTCTCTCAGGTGCTGGGCCATCTCACCCTTCAGGTTCCTCAGCTCAATATCCAGGTGGCCAATAGTGTCCTGTTACATCGGAAATAAGACGAGAGTTAGAAAAGAGAAAAGCTGTAAGATTATCAGTAGTGTCTGACAGTTTTCCAAGTGAATTCACCTCCTTAGCATGTATACTGTCTGTTTCTATGCAGATGACACCCAAATCTATATTTCACTTACATTGGGTGACTATGGACCTGTTGGATCTTTGTGTAACGATCAAATCAGTGACTGGAACACAGAATATCGTCTCTGGGGATGGGACCATATATGATATTATCGCGTATCGTGATAAAAAACACTCCCTTATCGTTTATCGGATATCCTCACATAATTCTCATGATTATTGTGATGGTATCGTGTATTGCTATTATTTTGGACAAAATAATTGTGACATAAAATGTTCATATAATCCCATTTGTAATCCCTGTCTCTCATTACTGAGAGTCAAGACAGAAATCTTCCTCTTATCTTGGATTCAGATTTAAATTTCAATAGTCACACTTTCCACCATCTTAAAAATATTGTTAGGATCAGAGGAGTTTGTTTCTAGTAGATTGGACTACTGCAATGGTCTGTACACAGGTCTTTTAAAAAACGTTTTTTGTCTAGGAAATACGATCACATTACAATAGTCCTAAAATTCTTACACTGGCTACCTGTCACTCAGAGGGCCAGGGATATCAGAGATAATCTGATAGAAAAAGGGGTCCTCCTGGTAGACGCTTCTCTTCCCAAAAGTTCCCATTTGGAGTCAAGATTGCGGCATTTTCGAACCATTCATTTGACCTCCACTTACGTCACATTTTAGCTGCTAACTAATCATGGATGTACACGCTACATGCATGAACGTGACTACGCAGTAGGCTGATATTGAAACTAAATAGGGAAGTCAGTCAGAGTTGGAGGTGCTGAGAGAAAGTCTGTCTAAATAATGTCGTCATACTAAATGCTAAATGCATGACATTCATGGTTTTTGAAAAACCTATAGCCTATAACATTTTACACAAATCTTATTACTTTTTAGAGGATAAAACTGATTAAAAAACCTCTCTTGTCATAAATACTAGTGTACACATGTAAATCCCAGTAAAAAGGGGGAAAGACATTATAAGTTTAAGCATTTTTATGAAGTAATGCTTTGTATTATGCCAGATTTGAACTTCCAGCGCCCATATAGGCTTTTCTGTCATATAACTCTGGACTGTAGGATTTCCTTCGATCCCTTACAATGATCTTTGGGGCTTAGCTTTACCTTCTCTAAAGGGCCAGTGAAAGCAGATGGCCTTCCTGTTCCGATTTAGCAGGTCAGAGGTTAATCTAATAGACGGGCAGGGTCAATTCACTAAGAACTGTTTCAATCAGTCTCACGGAGGCTTATTAAAGGGACTAACACACACTAAAGGTCACGTTTGACTTCTGACCTTGAACCTGAATTAGGCAGATAAATGTGAAACTTAGAGCCAGCGAGAGGTTATCATTACAGACAGTATTTCTTTATTTCTAATTTACTTCTATTTTATATGTATATTTGATTAAATGTTAGTTGGAAGCCTCGCTGCTCCCATTTTTATTTACTGTTAAAGGAACAATTACACATTTGGGAAACTAGCATGGCTGTGTCCGTAGGTAACAAAATCTGCATACCAGCACCTTTAAAACAAACTAATTAACACAAGTGTAATGTTTGTGGTGATTTTTAGGGAGCTTTTATTAAACAATGTACTGTTTGTAGTCAAAATTGGACACAGGGACATATAACTATCTTTTTTGGAGCCAGCTTCAAGTGGCCGTTGGAGGAACTGCAACTTTTGGCACTTCTGCATTGGCATCATTTTTCAGCCCAGGTTGGCACTTGGTTTTGAGATGTTTCTCCTGCCAGTTCAGTACAACAAGATTACCGCCCAGTACAATGGAGGTGAATAAATGAAACAAACCCAGGAGACCATCGTGGCACATGTGAAACCGAAAAGTCCCAGTTTACTTAAATAACGTTACGTACATGACTTGCTGTTGCAGTAAAGCCAACATGACCTGCAAGTCACGCTTTTAACCCAAATTATGTTAAGTTTAAAAATGTTTTACATAGGTAAAAAGATGCAGACTCTATTTTATCCAATAATTTATGTTTTAAGATAAATAATAGTAGTAGTAATAGTAAATAATAGTGATTACAATGAATAAGTGAATACGTTAACAGCAATGCTGGTAGCAACATAGAAGCTCCAGGAAGTTGCAAACTTAATGTAAAGTCAACCAACCTCTGTGAATTCTGCGCGACCTTGCAAGGCCAAGAGAAGGTATCTAGACAGGTATTATGGCCCAGTTCCTTCAGGAAGTTGCAGTTGTGATCGCAACAATAAACGCAAATTCAACCAATCCCCATGAATTCTGCATGATTTTGTCCAGTTGTAGTTTCACTAATAATAGCCTTCCCCTGTGCAAACATTGAGCCTTACGTAACCAGACTTCTAGTGAGTTTATTCTCACCGGAACGAGTTGCCTTCAGCCATTTTAGGCCGCAATAATCCCCCCAAAAACAGCCTGTGAAATCCTGGAGGGACACGCTAATATATGTTCCCCTGGTTTATCTACTCACTATACTTGTTAATGACTATGATTGCTTGCCTGCATGGCTGTGACTTCTGCGTTGTGTGAATCCTCCATCTCTGTGATCTGCCTCTCCAGAGACTCATTGGCGCCTCTCAGGCTCTCGATCTCAATGGTCCTGGACTGCAGCTGCCTCCTGAACTCATTGATCTCCTCCCTGCTGGCCCTCATTGCCTCGCTGCTCCTGCTGGCCTGCTCGCTGAGGCTGGCAAACTTGCTCTTGTACCAATCCTCGGCGGACTGCAGATTTTTGGAGGCGATGGACTCGTACTGGCTGCGGATCTCCTTGAGGGCCGAGGTGAGGTCCGGTTTGGCGAGCTCGAGCTCCACGGAGACCTGCTGCGCCTCCATCATGCTGCTCAGCTCCTGCATCTCCTCATCGTGCACTTTCCTCAGGAAGGAGATTTCGTCCATCAGCGACTCCAAGCGGCGCTCCAGGTCCAGGCGAACAGCTGTGGCGTCATCCACGTCCTTCCTGAAGGACCTCAAGGTTTGCTCGGCTTCCTCCCGCGCCCTCCTCTCCTCATCATACTTCACACTGAGCTTCTGAAATGAGACATGACAGGAGAGCTCAGATGAAATCCCAGCAGTAAATACTGATAGGATACAGGAAATAAATGCAGAACTACCTAATGGTTTTACCTGCAGCTCATCCTCCATGTTGTTCTTCTCGATCAGGATGCGGTTCTTGTCCCTGCTCAGCTCCTCCAACTGGGATCGCAGGTCCCTCATCTCCTGCTGGTAGACATGAGCGACGCGGGATGGCTCGGTCTGCTTCTGCCGCAGCGTCACCAGCTCCGTCTCCAGCACTTTATTCTGCTGCTCCAGGTGCCGCACTTTATCGATGAACATGGCGAAGCGGTCATTCAGACCCTGCACAACGGGATAAATGCTTGTTTATGGTTGTACAAAATCGTTAAAGCGTTGATTCACTAAACCTTAAACCTGCATCCAATATAATTTACCATCTGTATTTTCAAAGCTTATATTTCTCAGCGCACTGTGAAACAATCAATGTGTTAAAGCTGCACTGGATACGTTTCATTCTTGTTTTTACCACTTGGGGGCAGCAGAATAATCTCTAAACACAACACTGACATATAACTACCTTAAAATCTACCCCAAATTGGTAATAACTGGAAAGCGGAGACACATACTTGATGCCACCCCTGTATAAGTCTGTGCCCCACTTTGTGGCCCACAGTCCAACGAAGTCTGGAAACCCCCCCCATCCCCCCGGCTTTCACCAACACTAGATCTTCTGAAGTCAACTCCAGTCATATATATTATTTACAGCTGTGAGTTTCCCTGCGTGACATCTCAAAATGTTTGCACTTCTTTGTGATCGCCTCTCACTGTGCAGAATGATGTACGTACACAGTCTGAAGGCTGTTCTCACATCCATCTGCTGACGGAGGAAAATGTGTCTGCGCTCAACGTGAATCTAAGTTTAACACAAGCTTGATTTTGTTACATCACAACTAGTCTGTACGCAGCTTACAGGAGAGTGATGTGGAAACCTCCAGGCCACATAACACTGAGAGTCAACAGGGAAGAAAGAGACATAGACTCTGGATTTAAGGAGGGAGAAGGAGTGGGTATCAGACACAGTTTTCTATGGACTAAAACGGGTCTGTGGGGGATGTTTCACCTTTTGTAAGGTTGCAGAATGATTGGAAAGGAAAAGATAAATGAATGGTTTGGAGTGTCAATAAATTGGTTAAAGCCCTAATAAAGTTAATCCTGATCCTGCTGCAGTCAGAGCCCCTCTGGAACCTTTGATTCATTTTAGCATTTATTTTATTATTAATGTTTATTAATTAGTTAATTAATTTTATTATTGTTATATATATGTTTATTTTACCTGTATTTAGGAAACGTTGCACATGTTCACATATACACATTTTATTGTACATAGTAAATATATTTTATATTGTATTTTATTCCCTTTCTTTACTCTTTGTTCCACATTGTTGGTAACCACATTTTATTATTTGTTTTACTAGTTTCCATCTAATATAAAGTGACTCCAGTCAGGTAAATGCAGTTCACTACCTGGACTGATACTTAAGGGCTGTGGCTGCAGAATTATAAGCTAATTATCATGAAGTATGTGAAGTGTTGATAATGTTTGGACCTTATTGTATGTCAGCTTTATGTCTATATTGGGTGAGGCTATCAAATGTGGATTTTTAATATCAACAGATCATTATAGAGAAATAATTAAAAACTCTTTTTGTTCAAATAATCCGTTTTAACTTGCACACCTACCTGCAGCTGCTCCTTCTCGTTAGTTCTGATGACTTTTAATTCACTGTTGACTATGGAGGTCTGGTTCAAGTCAAGGAAGTCGCCGGGCATCGAAGAGAAAGAGGTGGAGGACCGGCCGATCCGTCTGTACACGTTCATGGGGGCCGAGCTGGTGCGGGCCATGGGCCTGAGCCCCGGGGAGCTCCGGGTGGAGGCGCTGCCCATGCGGGAGGAGGAGGCAGAAAACCTAGGAGAGTCCCCGAAAATCTTCCGGTAGGATGACGAGGTGTAACGGTCTCCGTGGCTCATTTTTGCTCTGAGTCTGAGGTAAAACTGAGGGACTTAAAGAGCTTTAAGGGAGCTTATAGACAGCAGCGTGCCAGTGGAGCCAACCATTTTACGCACGACGACACACGATTAGTAACATTTGTGGAGGGGAGTGAAGATGTTTAATGATGTATTTTATTTATATGAGAGATAAAAACAAACACTGGTGTCATTTCTTTTCCAGATTTCAGGCACGCCTCGAGGTTTTTTTCCGCGTGCGTAAACAGTTGGACCCGTCCACGGAGGAGCAGCACCACTCTGTACGTGCGTCATGTGTTTCACCTGTCACACCAGCAGGTAGTGCACTATATAGCTGTGTCTCACAAGCTTTACTACAGCGTGGGTCCTACGGTTAGGGGTGTGTGGAAACCTGATTCACCAGTTTGCAGCATTTAGAACTCAAACAGGAAGAAACAGTAAATGTATTGGGGATTAGACTCATCATCAACTATCAACCTTCCCACATTCACGTGCACAGGGAGCACCTGGTGCCACTGTGGTCCAACAGCGCCTCCTCTCTGCCACCCACAACCCTGCATCTCACGGACAGGAACAGTTCCCTCATCTTCATCACCAGCACTCTCCTTACAGTCAGTTCACTGGAGAAGCTCCCTTTGGCCAACCAGCGGATTGCAGATGGTTCTTCATCAAACATAAAGCTGAACTTCTGTTTACCAGTTTAATGACAGTGAGTGTGTGTGTGTGTGTGTGTGTGTGTGTGTGTGTGTGTGGTCTACAAGGGAACACAGAGATGAATCATGACTTCCATTATTCAACTAACTAAAGGATGTCTCATTCAGATAAACAGAAATACACCTTACTCTGTAATAACAATATCAGGCTGGAAAGGATGTAATGCTATATCTAAATTCTGAATTTACATCATAACCACATAAAACACCTGGAAATATATAATCTCTGCTCTTCCATATTATCACACGACTGTGTCCCCAAGTTACCCTTTAATGAGCAGTCTATTACAATCCGCACAAACTGGTGCAACAGTTACACTTCTTTACACAATGAAGGTCACATTAACTATTAGAAACTTGACGATCATTTACATTAACACAAAGACAGAGAAGATATAAACTTATTTGGTTTCGCTCACTCTTGCACAGCCATGCACCCAGCGCCTGAAGGCAGCGGCTGTGGGTAGAGGCTCAGGCTGTAACTGTGGAGACTACGTGGAGTTTCCTGTCGGTGCAGGACACTGTAGGTTGTGTTCAGGTGAAGGTGCAGATCACTAAAGGCTGTGGGTGGAGGTTGGAGCTGAAGCAGTCTACCAGAATCTACAGTTTAGGTGTAAAGAGGGACAGAGGAGAGGATTTGTGTTGCAGTTCCCTCTGATTGCCAGAAGAGGTCGATGCAAGTCAAGGGTTACCTAATCTTCCTCATAGATCACTGAATCAGTCCAAAAACAGTAACTCTCTATATGCTGTCATTTAGATTAACGAGGTGTTTTTACCTTCTTTATTCTATCCATGAACAAACTCTTGGAACTTTCTCATTATATTGACTTACAGAATCTTTTTTTGGCAGTAATAGGCTTCCATAGAACCAGCTCACCTGCAGATCTATTATTTATTATTAGAAATATTAGTGTCACCACCTTCAGGAGAAGCTGCTGTGAGCTGAATATTTAAAATGAATGTCCACATTCCTCTCTCAGGTGAATATGGAGCGTGCTTTCCCGCCCAGCTGCCTTTAATGGTCAGTGGGGTTATATATAGTTAAACCTCCGCGCATGGACCGGCAGCTGGCGTCCCTTTAACCTGCACAGAGGGGCCTGTGGACGGCTGCGTGACTGCCCGCCACAGCGCCCCGCTTCCTCATGAGCGCCATTGGGCCGCCACCGCACTGTGGGCGGGACACGAGGCTCTGACTCAGCTCTGAGTCACCGCACGACATGTCTGTCACACTGCTGCTGCGTTCACGGACCGGCGGAATACATGAGTGGTCATAAATATCCCAACAGGGAGGGAAATAAGTCACATTCACACAAGGTTCAAGTCTTTATAATGAGAAACTTTATCTATATTTTTATTTTATTTTTATCTCTATAACAGACTATAATAAGTCTTTTTGAGAATGTATCTCATTATAATGACTTACAGAATCCTGTTTTTCCTCCCACACATCCATAATATAAGTATGTATATATAACTATATATTATAATCTTAATATATATATTAAACACCTTTTTTTATTTGGTCTTTATTAATAACAAATAAGTTACAATAACAAACTCACC